TAGCTCTTATAGTGAAGCAGTTCACTGATATGGTTTGCGTTAAATTGTAATAGTAGGCAGGTCCACTGTAAACCAATGCAAACTTGTTCTGAGTTTTGAGTAGACCTATGCGGTTTAACATAGCTCTTAACCACCATCATCTGAACACAAAAGGTTGATATATATTTTTGCAAGCTAGTTGTTCCATCCCTATATTCCACATGATGCTCCTTCCCACTTGGAGAATTGATGTCAAGGCCCATTGAAACTGTTGTGACAGTATGTGGTGTCCCAGAACCCTAATAAGACACTTAATGTTGCTTGCTGTGTTTGCCATGCATCTGTATGTTTGAGAACTCCAGAAAAGACTCTAAAAATACTGTTTCTTTCTTGTGTTGTAGAAAGTATTATCATGGGGTGGCTAGTAGTGTTACATTAGTACAATAATGCTAGTTCTACCTGGATTATTAAAATCTGTCCCGTGAGCTCAACTGGCAAGGTTTAAGAACTGCCATGTTGGCGAGGAATTGTTCATGAAATATATTTTATTTCAGTTGAACTGCTCAATAGTCGCCTCTGACCTCTTACTTCTGTGCAGTGTGGAAAAAGTACAAAGAATAGGTCAGCACATGTAAAACATTGCATCACTGCATAACTTGCTAGTTAAGTTTTCAAGAAAAGAAAATATGCGAGTAATAAAGTTATAAAGTCTTTCTACACTGTGGTCTGTTGAGTTTTTATATATACAAGGAAATGAACTGTATGTAAATCTGATTATACACTGTTTTACATATTTTTTTAATGTTTTTCTATTTTTCAGCCTATATTCATTCTAATCAGATTATGGGCTGGGGTGAGAAAGCCATAGAGATCCGTTCTGTAGAAACGGGTCACCTGGATGGAGTTTTTATGCACAAGAGAGCCCAGAGACTAAAATTCCTGTGTGAGCGGAATGACAAGGTAATATGCTGACTTACTGCTTTGGACTAGTGTGGCACTAGTCACATACTGTAAAATTACCTAACATTACTTGCTCTAGTTTTGACCTATCTCGAGTGTTTTGCGGTTGCAGTGCTTTTCTGTATGGATAGAGCAGAGCCCACATTTGCATATGGAAGCTTTTAAAACATGAATTCTAAGAACTAAGTTTATTATACGGTGCACCCGAAACATAACCAAACAACAAAGTTTGAATGAACTGCCACGCATAATTTTAGCGTTTTGGGAATAATACTGCTGTATTTCAAGAGTGGGACCATATCTCATACACTCCCCTTTCAGTCCCATGGTTTATATATGCCTCCCTGCACTCCAGGCAGTTTATTATCTCCTTCTCCTTTCTAATTTCCCACACTTCTCATTAGTACTGTGGATCTGCTCAGCCCAGGAGCTGCTTCCAGTCCTCATTAATGCCTTCTTTAGGCTATATGGATATATGCTTATCTTTCAATAAATGTCGCCTAGCCTAACTCCGGATGTGGTCCCTTCTAGTGAAAAAGAGTTTTAGATGCAGGTTGGACATACCTATACATATGTCACAGTTTGTAGGTGGTGATGTCTCGAGTACACTTAACATATTATTTGATAAAAGTAAATTCAATTGCATCATTGCTAATAATAATTGTGCTTTTTGAGAACACATGCTTTTCATGTTTTTTTTATCCAGGTATTCTTTGCATCCGTGCGCTCAGGAGGTAGCAGCCAAGTTTTCTTCATGACGCTCAACAGAAACTCTATGATGAACTGGTGATGTCTCCCCTTACTCACTCTGCCTCACTCTCCCACTGGTGGCAGCCGACCTTGACCCACCACACATCTCACAAGTGAACCCGACTCACCGAGATGCCACAAATGAACTGTTGCAACACTGGAGAGGCTAAAAAAGTGTAGAGAGAGAGAAAAAGAAGTTATTTTAGTGGAAAAAAAAAAATTCTAAATAAAGACAGAAGTTATTCTAGATTAAACCGGGTCATTCAGAAGCCATCCAGCTGACTGGCAAACTGGTGCCACCGACTTTCCAAACAATCTCTTCTTCCCTGTTTCTCTGCAACTCTTCTTTTTATGTAGCTCAATTTTTCTCTTTATTCCCTCAAAACTGACCAGTGCATCCAAGTGTTTGACAAATGTAGAAATACACTTTTGACCTTTCTTAACCCCCCTCCCTTCACTCCTGTCCATCTTGGTAGCTCAAACTCATTTTCAGTCCTTTGAGACCCATATTCATCAATTTCTTTACTTCCTACCCACTGTGTGTGGAATACTACTACACCTCAGAGATTGGAGAAGCAATATATGAATACAATTTAATCTAAATTTAAATATACTTCTAATAGAACGGTGCAGGGAGAGCAGCTGAGAGATGACAAATCCTCTTTGAATGTCAGCGATGAAAGCAGACAGCCTGATTGATTTTCTTTCTCCTTTGACACTCCCTTCCTCCTCCACTTCCTCCCCTCACTATCTTTTGGTTTCTGAGAAAACCGAGTTGTGATTTAACGTTCGATCGCATGCCACCGATAGAGATGCGGTGAGACATTCTGCCGTCAGGTGGGTCTTAACAGTATGCAAAGATGATATCTGTGTCCCTTTAAAATGAAAATCACTGGTCCATCCTGTCCTCTTCCCTTCTTTGTTTTCCTTTCATTCCTCACCTCACCCCTTTCCGCCAACATCGTGATGATGATCTCTTCACTTTTACGTCTTCAAACTCTGAAGGTGCTGCATCAGATATACTGTAATATTAAACGAGCAATGGGAGTGGGTTTTTTTTTGTTTTGTTTATTTCTGTTCTTTTATTTTTCTGTGGGACAATTTTGAGTCAGACAGTCTTTGAAGTTTGATGAAATGTACAGCACATCTGTGTCTCTGAAATCAGGAGTGTATTTTAGTGTGTACGTATGCGTGCGTGTGAATTTGTGTATCTCAATCAAAGTTGGACATTGAAATCAATGTCCGGCGAGAATAAAGTAATTCATGTCTTTGTGTGTAAACTTACCTTAATCTGATCAAAGCAACACTGAGTGTGTTTACATGCAGATTTATAATTTTATCTTCGTAGTATGAAGTTTATGAGTTGGTGTCTGAACACCATACGTTTAAAATAGGCAATATTAATGGCTGATTTTGGGGTGGGAGGGGGGTGTTTTGTGTGTTTCCATGAACACAGTAGTGTCTTGGCTGTTCACTCTTACAGCCGCTTAGCTGCAGAAATATGACAATGCATATAAAGAGCTCATAGCCTCAACAGGATATGAGCTACTATCCCAAATACTGTGTGCATGTGAAAGCACTCGTTGTTAACAACTGTGGGGTCGTCTTGAATCATGCTCCTCCTTGGTTGGTTCTTCTGATTTTTGGCTCCTAACTGTTTGTACAGTGCCTAGCATGATGTAAGCAAAACTTAATCAGAGGCCAAAAGATTACTGCTTTTTTTTTGGCCGATATGGTTACATTACAGGTTTGTTTTTGGTTGTTCTTTTTTTAATCTCTGTGAAGGTTATTATCTAACGTAACTGACTGGCGATGTTATTTTTCTCCACTTATGGAGATGTACATTAACAAATTTAAGAGTTTGATTATTCTTTGAAAGGAGCAACTAATTATGACGAAACTTTGCCATATATGTCCAAATACTTTGCACAGCTCAATCATCAAAATTATGAAATCGATTTTACTTGTCAAAATTGAGGCGATTTTGGCTTTACATTAAAACCGTCATCATCCCACCACCTGGAGACAAGCTTCGGGAAGCTCATGTAGAACTCAGTTACTGTAACTATGAAAATATGAAGACTTTGCATGAGCAGTAAATTAAAACCACTAAAGACCTAAAACTCACACCTTTAACAGAAATGCAACCAGCTGGCACACCTGCCACATATAATAGTCCTGGTGATGGTTTAAATTTAAAGTCAGAGCTTAAAAAGATGGACTCCTGTTTTGTAATAACTTTGCTCTTAGATTTCTCAGTAAATTGGTTCTCTGGTTCACAAAAAATGGACATGTTTCTCAAAGTAATGATCCTCTGATTGAAGTTCTTATTTTCTGTTAAATTGTTGAATGTTTTCTGTTGTATTTTCAAGGATTTTTTACACATCCATATACAGTAGTAGCTGTTACTGTGCACCTGTAACTTAGGGTTACCGATCTCTGTTAGGGGGAGCAGGCTCTAACATTATAGCAATAAAGAGCTTAGCTGCAGAAACCACTGTCTTCCGTGTGTGTGTGTGTATGTGTGCACACATGCATTTCTGTGTCTGATTAATGATCATGTGGGAATGGGGCATTATTGAGGTGTTTGTTAATCATTTAATTCGCTCCCCTCATTGGAAAATGCTGACTGTCATTACACTGAGGTTTCTCCTTTCAAAGACGAAACCACTTTATTCTTTATTCAATTTAATTCTTGTTTTCTTTATTTTAAAAGAGCATTACTAATGTCCTGTTTTGGGATTTATTTGTTTTGTAAAAGAGATGCTGTAAGAGAGAAATAAATGAAACTAGCATTACTCTTCTCGAGTTGTGTGCTTTCTAAACATGTTTATGAGAGAGTCAGTTGTTTTTTGCAAGTTTGCACATTCGTATCACGTCTGATCCTCAGACTTTGTCCAGTCCAGCACTCAAGTATATCATTAACAGCAAATGTGTGTGTGTGTGTGTGTGTGTAAGAGTGAGAGGAAGAGAAAGATAATGTCATTGCTCCTATCAAGAAAAGCATTTTTTAGCAACAATATGCTAACTTTGGATTCCATATTTAATTGCAATATAAACGTCATGTTTCATAATAATCAAGTAGAAGCACCACACAGAAGATCTTTAGATCAGAACTTTTCAACGTAAATTCTTCGTTGTCTCATTATACTTGCCATAAATATGATATACTATAGTAGTATGTAGGTTTGTGCATTGAAATCAGGAATATTATTGCTTCATTTATTTGTAAAAGGTCTTCCTGGGATGTGTGTGCATCTATGTGCATGTGCCATGTGTGTGTTTGTCTTTAGTCAGTGGACACAGTGTAATCAGGCATGCTGCTTGATCATTGCTAAACTCCTGACACTTTGGACCCAGCATGAAGACGGGAAAGGTAAGCGTATTTGGACATGTACATTCTTTACATTCTTTGCGCTTTATAAATGGCTACATATCTATCTCCTTTTACTGGTTCATGGAAAGCAGTGTTTGAAAGCAGGTGTCGTTGGCGTAAAGATGCTTAAAGCTTAGAGACTGTTAAACGAGAGGACACTGGCTTTTAATCATCAGGGCGTCCTGCTTGCATTATTACCTTGCTTAAGACACTCTCGTGATTAAAATTATGTGTCTGCTTCAAAGAGACCTTAAACTTGTTTAATTACTTTTGTGTGAAAGCATTTATTTACAGAAATGGTGAATAAAGGAGTAACTCTTTGAGCCACCCCTCATTTCTTTACATTTTGCCTCTTTTGTGTGCCTTTCTCTTTTTTTGTATGTCCTCCTCTTGTCTGTATATATTTCTGCTGTTTGGTGTTTATTCCTGCTGCCTGGATACCTCAGGAGCTAGACCTTCTTCAATTTTATTCTTCTTCTTCAGGAATACATGACAGTATTCATGTTTTTATTTATTTTGTTATTCACTGTACATGTGGGTGTAGCATTTTCACTCATCCAAGTGACTTCTTCAGTCTCAGCTGACTGCAAGTTTCCCAACCTTGTATATTTGCATAATGATTGAAACTAGCACCGTTAATGTACAATGGGTCATAAAGTCAGTTATCAATGATCAGTATTATATAAATTGTAATGGGATCAAAGGGTATCAATATCTGTCTGTCATTTTAAAGAAGAAGGACTCCACTGCTGCATTCATCCCAGACTGGAGGTTATCTGAAATTTGGAGATGTCCTGCCTACTAGAGAGAGCCATTTGGGTGTCATGGAGCAATGTAGCAGTAACAGCCTAAGCAGGTAGAGCGAATAATGCTCTACCTGTTGATCTGACTGTCCAACGCTCAGCTGGAAAATGTACTTGAAAAAAAAATGTTACCTTTCCTCCCCCAAAAGGTAGGAAAGCAGCAATTGTTTACTCCTCCTGTCCCATGCCAGCATGGGACAGGATGTTGTTTTTAGTTGCTTCTGTTCCCGTAGAGGGGGTCAGATTTCATGGACTCTGGATATTAGCTCTGCTTTTTCCAGATTAGTTGGTTCTCTTACTGTTTTGTGTAGTATATAATGAGAACATTAAAAGGATATTTCAAAGTCATATGGGATGCAGGTTTTTGGGGCCCTCTTCTTTGGAACCAGCTCCCAGTTTGTTTATGGGAGACAGATATTTACTTGTAAGATTAGGCATAAAATTTTCTTTTTTGATAAAAGATATAGATTAGGTGACCATGAATACTCCCTTAGTTATGCTGCAAAAAGCCTGAGCTGCTGGGGCCTGAATGTTTCTCATTCGCTCCCCTTTTTTAATCACTGGGTGTTCAAACACCACTCTGTCTGAGATTAGTAATTATTATTCTCTGGGTCTCTTTCACAATGTGTCTTTTGTGCTGTCTTCCTCCCCTCACCCTTGGCCAGTCATGGCAGATGACTGCCCCTTCCTAAGCCTGGTTCTGCCAGAGTTTTCTTCCTTTTAAATTTGAATTTTCCATTCCCACTGTTGCCATCTTTTTCACAGGAGGTCATTTGTTTTTGAGATTTTCTCTGCTACTGTACACTCTTTACCTTACAATGCAAAGGGCCTTGAAGTGCCTGCTGTTGTGTTGTGGTGCTATATACATCAATCTGAATTGAACTTGAACTTGAACATTCAGGAAGTTACATCCAGCTTGTGTTAGAGCAGTTTGGAGCTGAATGTGAAGTGACTGGCAGGAAATGGGAATTAGCACCTCCAAGTGCAAAGCCATGGCTCTCGGTTAATGGTAGACTGCCCACTTTGGGTCAGAGATGAGTTCCTGCCCCAAATTGAGTAGTTTAAAGAGTCTTGTTCACAAGTGAGGGGAGAATGGAGCAGGAGTTCGACAGAGAGCTGAGTTAAAGGAGCTGAGCTTAAAAGCAAATCTCAAGCTTTATAGGTTGATCTAGGGTCCTACTCCCACCTGTGGCCATGAGCTGTGGCCAGTGACCAACAAAATAAAATTGTGGATACAAGCAGCAGGAATGAGTTTTCTCTTCTCTGAAGGGTGTCTTTGCTTAGCCTTAGCCATAGGGTGTCGAGCTTGGTCATGTGGGAGAGGCTCAGAGTAGAGTTGCTATTCCTCTTCACTGAAAGGCGGCTGCTGAGGTGGCATTGGCATCAGACCAGGATGCCTCCCAAATGCCTCTTTTTTGGGTATGACCTACAAGCTCAGGACATGCTGGAGAGATTATATATTTTGGCTGACTGAGATTGCAGTGAATCTCTGTAAAGACTGCTATGTAACCAATGTAAGTGGCCAGTGCTCTCACTGGCATTCATGCTTATCTGTATATTAATTGACCTATGGTTGTGTCTTGGTGCCAGCCACAATAAAAAAATATATAAAAGGGTGGGGCATTTTCCCTCCTGGGTCCCCACTTGTCCCCCACCCCCTTCTTCTTGAATCCATTCCAGTAGTTTCTACAATCTCCTTCAGCAATTTCCTGACATCAGGGAATTTATATCTTGATAGTTACTCCTGTTGAGATGCTACGTAATAGGCTAATCACAGTAGTTGTCAGTGTGACATGTAATTACATTTCCGGGGAGGTCCACCACAGCTTATGACATGGGTTATATAAGGGTGGTCATACCAAATATTCACTTTCAAGTTTATTGGAGTTGTATAAACTTTATTTTTGCTTTATAGATTGTATTTCCATGTATATTTGCATGTTTCAATAACTGGCTGTTATTGGGTTAGCCATAGTGTTGTATAAAGAACTGAGAGGTGGCTCCAGACCTTCGCACAGCACTGTATTTTTATTAACACTGAGTTTATTATAAATAAAGCAGCTTGTGTTTGTTCGTCTATTAATTTCTGTGGACTCATCATTACTGTTCACTTCTGCAGCAGCTAACAGGCACTCTAGCTCTGGCTGTGTTCACAGCCACTCTGGGATCCCTACAGTTTGGATACAGTCTTGGAGTCATCAACGCACCCCAAAAGGTAGACTACTTCACCCTTACTAAGCTACCCAATTGTCCCTGCCAGCCAGGGTGAACAAGAGGGATGTAAAATTCTGTAGCAATTTGGTGCTTTTTGATTACATTGTTAGGTAAGGTAAGCTTTATATTTAGCACTAGACTGGATGACTGGGAAGTAGAGATTGACTGATATAGGATTTTTAAATAATGAAATGACAGTGAAGTTTGAAAATAATCTTATTGTCCATTGTTGCAAGTTTACATTCTGTCCAATTTAGTCATGGACTGTAAGAGATGATAAAAATGACCTTCTGATTACTATAGCACACATATACACACTTGGGAAGATCCTCTACACGCTCAGTACATTTAACTTTCAGTGTAGTGTTAGTGCTTGAGTGGGCGTATTTGAAACCGAACAATAATCTTTTCCTAAATCTAACTGAATAGTTTTAGCAGTTAAAACATCACCGAATAGTGAACCAGAATCTGCCAGGTTCCACTACCACCTCACTACAGAAGATTTGAAATTTAAAAACTTTTATATTTATCAGTATATCATCAATATTGCAACTTTGTAATGAACATCAAAAAGTTAAGAAAATGATTAAATGAATGAAGAAAAAATTAACTAATGTACTGTCTGTGCTTTGATGAAACTTCTTTGTACACTGTTATGAAATGTGGTGAAAAAACAAAATCTGTCTATACATTTGTATAAACTGTGTATACTGAGGGATGTTCATGGTGGATTTTCTCCCTATAGGACTTCACGTTTGGATGCAACATATTTGTATTTATTTGTGCAAGCAAATTTTGAGTCAAGTCTATCTCTATGTTTGCAGCCTTCCTCATACTGTTTCATAACATGTCTGTGTCTGTATTGTAGATCATTGAAAAGAGTTATGGCCAGTCCCTGGGTGTGTGGACAGAAAGGGCTGCTGGTTCATCAGAAAACATCACAGAAGAAGACCCAGGTCACCACCCTTCTGTGATCATGTATTGGTCATTGTCAGTGGCAATCTTCTCCATCGGTGGCATGGTATCCTCCTTCTTGGTTGGATTTGTGGGTGATCTGAAAGGGAGGTAAGAAAAGAAAAATGAATTAAAATGGCACAAGTGAAACAAATTTGGTTAAAAAACTAAAAGCTAGAGTATGGAAAATGATTAGACTAACGACAGGAGTGATGTAGCAAGTTTAGGGAGGAACATTTTTTGTATTAAACTGTCAGTTTACTTTCTCTTATTTTGCAGGGTAAAAGGGATGTTAATGGTCAATGTTCTGGCTGTAGCAGCTGGACTGCTGATGGGTCTTTGTAAGATGTGGAAGCCACACATCATGGTCATCTCAGGCCGCGCTGTTATGGGTTTCTATTGTGGTACATTAACGAACATCTTACAGTCTTCAATCAACACTCACATAATGAAATCACAGTGTTTAAGGGTTTTATGGAAACACTGCGCTGGGATTTCTAAATGAACAAGAGTTCCTAAATTGCACATGGACATTAAACAACAGTCTTGTTATACTGTCGTATCTGTAACTGCAAATGTATTCATTTAAATGGTTTCACTTATAATGCATATTTAAGGTCTGGCATCTGGGCTAGTCCCTATGTACATTGGGGAAATTGCACCAAAAGCTTACAGAGGGGCTCTGGGAGCATTACACCAGCTTGCTGTTGTCATTGGCATTCTAATCAGCCAGGTGAGCTACAGTCATCCACGCACATGTACATGCACATCATCTTTGCTCAAGAGCACATGGAGGATATAATCTGAAATGTATATGTTGATGCAGGTAATAGGTTTGGATTTTGCACTTGGTAATGATAAAATGTGGCCCCTGTTGCTTGGTCTGTCTGGAGCTCCAGCAATATTACAATCCCTTCTGCTGCCTCTTTGTCCTGAGAGTCCACGTTACCTTTACATCCTATTGGGCAAGGAGCAAGAGGCTCGACAAAGTAAGTACAGAAACTTACTCCTCATCGTGGAACTTTCAAATGTATATTTTGGCAGTACGCTTGGGGAAATTATTGCACATGAGAGGTATTAGACACACTGTTGGCAGCTGGTTTGTTTAGCTTAGAACAAAGAGTAAAAATAGAGGATAACAAAAACAAAAAGACCAAAAACCAGGACACCGGGGAAGTGTTTTTATTATTTTTGGAGACCTTGATAGGTCTCCAACTGGCAACTCCTGGCAATATGGCGAATAACTGAATTTCCAAGATTCCTAAATAGCTTTTACTTTTCTCTGGCAATACTTTTTGGCACATTTACTGATTCTTTTATAGTGCTTTTCTGCTCTCCAGGAACACTCAAACAATTAACGCCAGCATTTTGCCTCCCATATTAAAGCCATTTTTAAAAGCATGTTTTTAACTGTACAGGACATTTTAAATTATAGTCCTACAACAGTTATTTAAGTAAGGAATTGGAAAATTTTATGATTTGTTTCAGGTCTGTGTCGTCTAAAGGGGCCGTATGATCCAACTATGGATCTGGAAGAGATGAGAAGGGAAAAAGAAGAGGCAAACAAAGAGGCCAGAGTCTCTATCTTTTCTTTGGTAGGTGTCTGTGCAGTTTTATTGTTTATACACCGTTTACCATTCATTTTCACAAAATGTCAATATTTCAGCAGCACCTCAAAAGAAAAGTTCAGGTTTTATGGCTTTAAAACAGTTATTTTTGTATTTCAAATAGCCTGAGCCACTAGAAATAATATTGCAACCAGAATATTTCTGAGTGTATAATACAGCATTCTGGTATTTCCACTGAATTCCCCAAAGATAGGGAGAAAAAAAACACCATTCACACAAATTTATCAAAAAAAAAAAAGTTGTTTTTTTTTAAAACAATATTTCACTTTTGTCTGTTCTCTCCCAGATCTGCTCTTCTGTATACAGAAAACAGCTGGTTGTTGCCCTCATGATGCACCTCTCCCAGCAGTTGTCTGGCATCAATGCTGTGAGTGGAAAAAGCAGTTTTAACTCTGTCTGAGTTAATTGACTACAGACCTGTGACTTTTCCTGAGTATGCAACCACTCAGAGTGTCAAGAAAACCTTTGCTTGTTTTCTCTTTAAGATCTTTTACTACTCTACGGCTATCTTCTCTCGAGCTGGTGTCAGTCATCCAGTTTATGCCACTATAGGAGTCGGGGTCATCAACATGATCTTCACTATGGTGTCTGTGAGTAGCAATATGAATACAAAACACACATAAACTTGCAAAAAATGTAAAACAGGAGCCATGTACTGGCATAGTATTGTTTCTTCAATCTACACACTGTTACATACATGTAAACACACACACACACACACACACACACACACACACACACACACACACACACACACACACACACACACACACACACACACACACATTTATATGTATATATGTGTTCCAGGTGGCACTGGTGGACAGGGCTGGCAGACGCACCCTAACTCTGGTTGGTCTTGGGGGAATGTGTTGCTGTGCTGTTGCCATGACAGTGGGCCTCAAATTGCAGGTTTGTCACTTCAGATTCACACCCTCAGTCTTTTTGCAATGCTTTGATCATATTATGTAGTGCAGAAAAGTTACATCACTGTTGATATCTTGATCAACTTGTTTATCAGTCTGTATTTTAAAAGTAAAGCAAACAAAAAGACTGTATAAAACAGGCAATTGCATAATTACATTTAAAGATAATTATAGAATATTATTATGTGTTAAGTTCAGATGTCATTTTGAGTCGGGAATAAAGCCAGAAAAAATAGCTGGAAGGTTGGGTTCTGCAGAGAGAGCTCCTATATTTCTTGTGCATACTCAGTGAGACACGCCTATGAACAGAAAGTAACAAAAAGTGCTCAAAGTGCATTTTTTCCTTTTTAATGTCCATAAATTTGAATAAAAATGTTTTTCTTGATTGATGTGCTCTTTCCTCCAGAATGAATATTCGTGGATGAGCTACGTCAGCATGTCAGCTATCTTCCTCTTTGTAAGTTTCTTTGAGATTGGGCCTGGTCCCATTCCGTGGTTCATAGTGGCTGAACTGTTCAGCCAGGGACCTCGACCTGCTGCTATTGCTCTAGCTGGCTGCTGTAACTGGACCTGCAACTTCATCATAGGCATGACCTTTCAGTATATACAGGTGAGGGGGAAAAGACACACATAGGCAATGTAAACTTGTGCTTCTCGTGAACCCAAATAGGTTGACATATCTCAGCTTCACTAATAATTCCTGATTTGTGTTTTTAATATTTCTCATCAGGATTGGTTGGGTTCTTACGTGTTCATCCTGTTTGCCGTGCTGCTTCTTGGCTTCGTACTATTTATTTATTTTCGGGTGCCGGAAACCAAGGGCAAATCCTTTGAAGAGATTGCTGCTATCTTCCACAAGGGACGTTGGATCCCTACAGATAATAGTGAACTGCAAGAGCTTAAATCATCCACAAATGCCTAAAACAAAAGCTGTTTGCTTTTGAAGTCTTATTCTATGATATACAAGTGTATATTCGATATTATTTCCTAGATGCTCGTTTATCACACACTTATCAATTTAGTGTTATAACGACCACCTGATTTGTTAAAGAGAAATTTTTTAAGGCTTGTGAACTACCTAAAAACCAACGCTGAAATGTTGGAAAGTGTCATGTTTCCGTTATGCATGGAGAAAGGTTTACATTTTATCAAAATATGAGGGAAACTTTCAAAGAAGCTACAATCATTTTACACTGACAACAAATAACATGACATGACTGACTACAGAAAATTACAACCCAACTCTGCAGTTCACCTCAGCTCTACGAAACTTAGTTTATATGTGTAGCATCGTTAGTTTCCAGGATACTTACTACTGTTTTGGTTCTCTTTTATCATCCTCATAGTGATATTTACAGCCACTGCACATTATTATTTTTAAGTATATAAACTAAATGTAAACTACCTACTCAAGACCAAAACTGAATAGAGACTGGCTTATGAATACTGACATATTTAGGAGCTAAAGAGCTAGATGTCGGCATATGAACAAGGGGAGAGCAAAAAATAGAGCAAAAAGGAGAATGGATATTGGATTTGAATTCATCCTGGGTTTCAAATTAATACTAATTTTGCTCTTTGTGCTAGTGTGTAAAATACTCAGCTTATCAGCTTTAATCTTCTGCCCCCAAGTGGTTATAAAAAATAGTGCTGGCTATTGGCATTAAAGCATGAAAAAACTTAAAACTTAATGAATGAGCTAATGAAACAGCACTGAAGTTAAAACTTGAAACACAAGAGACAACAAACTATTAAAGTGTATGACTATGCTGTATGAATGTTTAGCTGCCACCACCGGATATTATTGACTTACAGGAGCATGTCACCTTTAATCTGCAGAATAATGTATGTATATCCATGTATGTGTCTTACACAAATGAAGTTACCCAGTGATTATATTAATAGTGAGTGCAAGCCTTTGTTTACTTTGTAAAACTGATCAGTGCTTTGAAAGCTAATCATGGTGTAGTCCCTGTTGTGATGTTAAATTACGTGAATTTGAAAGAACATTTATTTATACTCAGTTTAGATTGAAGTGACGTATTAGATGTGATTTTAAAGACTGATAAAGATTTATAATATAATTATTATTATTAATTTCTGCATCATCTTACAAAGTGCACCTGTAAAAAAAAAAAAAAAAAAAGAAAAACGGAAAAATGGAGGAACTTTGTGTGTTTACAGTATGTAGCAACACACAAAAAAGACCATTCACTTTGGAAATTCCATGCAAAGAGTCAAGGAGTTCAGAGAACAGATGGTTGGAGATGGGTGTTTAACTGATAATAGAAGAAATTTACTTTGCTTTCAGACACATCTGCTTACCCTGAAACACAATCTGTTTTACGCAGCCCCCAGCAACACCCAGGGAATAATTCAAGACCAATTTGCAGTTGTCAGTGTCATCACTTCACTGTATAAGCACCACTGTTGTGTTGTAAATTAAAATCATCATGGGTTAATGCACACATGGAAACACAGGATGGTGCTTTCTCTATCTATGTTTATCTTTAACCACAACAATAACAACCTTTGCCCTAGAGAAATATATATAAATTTTAATGTTCACATTACAAGTTAACAGGCCATATATGTTATGCTTTTAAGAAAATATATTGTCTGATTTTCTTTGTACAAGAAAAAATAAAAGAAGTATTTTAAATCACAATTTTCATTTCGCTGTTTTATTACATTTCACTGATGGACAAACGGCAAATGAAGACATCATGGAAACTCTGGACTGAATTTATCTGCCTGCACTGATTAGCTCAGCAACACCAAAAGACCCGAAAAGGGGTCAAATAACATGGATCATCATAAATTCTATCTTTGGAATAAAAAAAAACAACTTCACAACATCTAACCATGTCAAGAACACTCTCAAGGAGGTATATAATTGTCAAGGTCTACATTCAAGAGATGTCTTCATGAACAGAAATACAGAGGGTGTACAAAACACAAAACAAGAAGGCCAGATTAGACAGAAAACATCTCAAAAAGCCTGAACAGCTCTGAAAAAGCAATCTCTTATCAATCTCTTTTCCTAATCTCTCCAGTAGAGCATGCTTTTCAATTAGGGAAAAGAAAATTAAAGACAGAGATACCCATAAACAAGCAGTAAGGTGGCTGCAATAAAGGCCTATCAGAGCATTTCAAAGGAGGAAATGCAACATTTAGTGATGTCCATGCCCTCTAGACTTCATACACTGCATGCAAAGTATATTTAAAAATATTTATTTTAAAAAAGTTTATCAAATTAATTTTGAGCCTCTAGTGGACCATGCATAAAAATAGCTGTAATTTCTAAACAGTAATGCACTATTTTCATTAAACCCAGTGAATTAAACCTGAAGGTCTGAACTTCAAGCACAGCATGTCTTGACTGTTTGATTTAAAAACCATTCTGATGGTGTACAGAATCAAAACTACAAAAACTGTGCTTTGCCCAAAAATGTGGACCTGGGTGTACTTATTATGTAGGGGTCCCTGTTTTACATGATTTGATTTGAAGATTCGAATTAAATGAGCTCATAAATGCTTTAAAACACTTCACTAGTTTTCATATAGCCTACTGTTGATGCAGGGGGACTTTAAAAAAAAAAAAAAGGCTTTTTTGGATAGGTCTGTACAGGTGTGCAAGGCAGGGCGGAAGTTACCTCCAGGAAGCCACTGCGCTCCAGCGCATAACGTTGCAACGTTTATATGAGCGCCCCCACCCTCCTCCTACTAACACGTCACACATGCCACCGGAGCCCGTACCTGCCCTCTCCGCTTCTCATGCGGTACAAAAGCTCCACGCATGCGAAGTGACTCTCCCTTTTCTCTTTAAGATATAAGGTAAGCTAAATGTTCAGGCTCAAGTTTAATATTTTTGACAGTAGCGCTGACGTTATGTGCAGCGCTTGTTTGGGTGTAATGAAAACTCACCTCATCTCTAACACTGTGATGCATTCGTTATCTCGACAGTTTGTCGGTAACTTGGAATTAGTGGGCGCTCGTTGAGGTTTTTATTTAGCACTGTTGTCAAGCTAACATTAGCAGCAGTATCGTTATCCAGTGTCAGTGGATGTAGGTTGGGTTAGCGAGCTAACGTGGCTAACTATGACAGAAAAGGGACAGGATGAAGGTGCGGTTAGCGTACTGTTTTAAAGCTGTAGTGGCGGATGATCATCTGGCCCAGCTGCCACGTAACCTGCTAGGTCGTTAATGGGGCTTGTCTAACCTTAGCAGCCTAGCCAGTGTGAGAAAAACGCGACCTTTTGTTTTGACCCAGTGAACGAAAAGGGTGGCTGACAAGTTACCGTGTTGGAGTATTATTTTTTTTCCCACTTAGTAGTGTTTATGGGAACATTTGGGAACCCAACAGCTTGGTGTCCAAATAGATTTAGCACATTCACATATGACGTTAGCCGTTAGCTTTTCGGGTGGATAGCAGGCAGCTTGGATACCGTGTATGGGTGCAACGCCTAGAAATGTTTACACTAGTTTGGGGAATGCATGTTAAAATTATAGCTTTATTGAACTTTTAGAATAATGCAATAATTATTTTAAAACAAATGCAAAGTAAACAAACTCAAAGTAATTCGAAAGGGATGGCTGACATTAGATCAAGTATTGAATTGTGATAGATTGAGCTAAGTTGTCATGTTTATAATCTGGAAATCTGTGCTGATTACTCACTTTTTAATGTCACTTATATAATTCCTCTTGTAAACTTGCAATGGGCCATTGGTTTTTGACACTATACAAATCATATTAACCAAATTCTTTGTTAAATCATCATCTTATTATCATTGTTATTTTTTTATTGTATATATTTTTTTAATTTAAAAAAATGTATCCTGGTGATACAGTACAACCTGTGGATCCACTATGGCAGATGATGATTTCTCCACTGCTGATGCTGGGGCCTCTACAACATACCCAATGCAGTGCTCTGCACTGAGGAAGAATGGCTATGTCATGCTGAAAGGACGTCCCTGTAAGATAGTTGACATGTCTACCTCCAAGACTGGCAAGCATGGACATGCAAAGGTAAAACCACTTTGTCTATACTTTAGAATTCAGCGCTTAAGGAACTTTAGCCTGATGGGTCTCAGTTGTACAAGTAATACAGAATGCTTCTTTGGCACAAGGTAAGCTCTAATCAGTTCATTGTTCCCAGGTTCACCTTACTGGACTTGACATCTTTACACAGAAAAAGTATGAAGATATCTGCCCATCTACCCACAACATGGATGTTCCAAATATAACAAGGAAAGACTATCAGGTGAATGTTTCTTTTGGACATATCTTGCAATATTGCTTGCTGTGCAGGTTAAACAATTTAGTACTAAAGGGTAGTAACTGTTTGGAAATTTGTTTAAAGCGTGAAAGGAATGAATGGTTTGACTGCTGAAGGGGTGTGTCTCATTTATCAGAGCTGAAGTGTTGCTTCAGTATGTTTAAAAAAAATATATACAGGCATCAGACTGGTCGGTCAGGTTTTGGATTGACCAATAAGCAGTCTTCTCTAACTGTTGGGCTATTTAGAGGCCGTAGTTTTCAGAAAATGCATCTTTTTCTTCGTATAATGAAATCTTCTATGTAGCAAATGAGTCTTATAATTTGCATTTTCCTGGTGGTGGTTTATTATGTTACGTTCTACCTATGGATGTATAGAGGCCCACGTGACAGATTTCAGGCTTTGTATAGATGTGCCACCCAGACCATACACTTCACAACTTCTTTGGTGTCTGCGGTTGTCTAGGTGCTTTTCCACGTAGTGTGCACTTTTTTTTTTTTTTGGTAATGGTTTAGAATTAAAGACTGTACATGACACTGTCCCTGATAGGCACATGCACAACAAAGAATGACAGAGCACATTGCTAGACTGCTAAGTTTAAATTTGAATGAGAAATGATAATTGCTGTAACTGCAAATGCAGCAGATACTGGGGATGTTAAACAATAGTTATGTGAAACCCAAAACCTAAGACGGGGGCTTGATCTATACTGAGTTCAAAGTGAGTAATCAGCCATCTTGCACTGTTTGGGAATTGCATCATCTGGATCTTGTAGCAACATCAAATGATACACAGATGTAAAAATTATACTACTGTTACCTTAAATTAGAGCTGGGCGATATACGATTTTTTTCATATCACGATATGTTTTTTCATTTCAGGCGATAACGATATCTATCACGATATAAGCCAAATAACTATATTTGTAAGATTTAAATGTGCCGTTGCTCACAAGTAAAATGTGAAATAATCAGCAGCTTGTTTTGATTTAAATATTTATTTCCCATAATAAGTTCAACAGGGTAGATGTACTTAAGGAACATGAGACTTTTTCAGATAAATAAAGGCAAATCTTGCAAACTACACAAAAGGCAGCTGCTAAAGCGTTTAAGTTTCAAAATAGAACAAACAAAACAGACTACTAAATTGTCAATTCCACTTAGAAACAAAATATTAATTCTAAAAATAAATCTTAGTTTGTTTTACAGAAGATCAGACAAAATTGACTAACTTTTGTCAATATCAAATAAACTGAGAACTAAAAGGAAATTCTCAATCTCTCCTTGTTGTATAGCTGAGCTTTTCAAACAGTTTTAACAGTTACTTTAGTCTGACAAAAGCCGAATGACGAATTAGCGCTTCCAGTCAGAGATTGAGCATGCACCGGTTTATTGTATTTCCAGACTTGCTTTCGGCACAATTTATAGTGCGCGCTACTGTTTTTTTTTCTCAGACTTGAAATGGCCGAAATACCTTCACACTACGGAACTTCTATGGCTCTTCCGTTCGACAATCTCTCCGGCATTGGAACCATCATCTGTGTTCTCTTCAGTAACCTTCGGTCACGCTCTCGGTTGATTTTTCTCTAGTCGGCACACTCATTTCCTCCATTACCCGGGCGGCAAAGCGGCTGGCTGCTTCCCAAACAAATACACATGTGCGGCTTGGCACTTGTGCTATACGTAACAAGTCACGCGACGTGATGCTGAGGCTGTGATTGGTTCGGTTCTGCGCTACTTAATTTGGATTGGCTGGTTTTTTTTTTTTTTTTTTTTTTTTTTTAAAAGAGGACAAGAGCGGCGAGGCCTATCGCAATAGTTTAATTTTTCTATCGAGAAAAAGTTATTTCGCAATACATATCGTTATCGTTCTATCGCCCAGCTCTACCTTAATTTGGTGTCACTAACTTAATAATCTCGTAAATTCCATGTAATTGGCATCAGGTACTAGTTCCTTCTGGTTGTAGTATGTATAAAATAATAGGGTTTTTCCTCTAGCCCAGAATACCACTGTGCAATATATAACCCACACGGTAAATGCATAAAAATTAGAAATGAAGTGTTATTTTTTCCCAATATTTGTATTAGGGCTGTGCGATATGACGAAATATATCAGATGTTGAAATTAAAATGTCTATCGTTTCATATTATACGCTGTCGTTAGTTTCGTGATGTTGCAAAGTACAATGTTTACGGCAAGATCTTTTCCTTGTTTGGATGGTCACCACAGAGAATACCAACATAGCCAGTGGAGATGAGGGAGAACCAGGTAGGTCCAAACAGAAAAACCAGTCAAAACAAATCACGGATCTTATTCCTAAACGAGGGGCTACCTCTGTAGCATGGATATAGTTTGGTTATGAAAAGTCTGACACGAACCAGAAA